GCCCCAGCCTGCCCCGCCCGGCCTAGAGCCGGGTTCAACACCGAGCCCGGTGATTTCTTTTCCAGCTCTCGCATTTCGCAGTGTGGCCTTCCCCCACAAAAAAGGCCGCCGCGCTCGCGGTGTAGCATGTGGTGCCGCCGGCGCCGCCGCGAGGTGCCTCCCGGCCAGGCACCCCGCCTGCCTGATCTTGATTCGACGCAATAATTGGTTCACCTAGGTCGTCTCGAGCTAAAGAAGCCCGATCCCTCCCCGGCCTGGGCGGTCCGGCTCGGCACCGTTCAGTAACCCTTTCCGCTGGCCCTGGGGGGGCTCGGGCTCGGCTCGGCTCGTCTGTCGCTCGGCTCGGCCACCGCGACGACGTCGACGCCCGGCGCCCCCCGCGAAGGGGAAAGGGGGGGAGGGGGGGGGGCGCCGGGCTGGGAGTGGAGCGCCAGTTCCGTTAGTGAAGGTCGGCCCGCGGCCCGGCCGGTGCGAGCTCTGCAGGCGGCGCAGCGCGCAGCGGCGCAGCACTCCAGTGCGGTGTGGCTGCCGCTCGTGGTGAGGTCGCTCGAGTATAGCGCGCGCGCGCGGCGGGAGCGGCTCGGCTCGGCCGGGATGTCATCGCGAGTGCGCGCGCGGCCAGGAGGATGGTGACCTGAGTGTTGTGCTCCGCGAGGGAATACCGTCGTGTCGCGGCCGGCAGCGGCGCGGGACATCCGCAGGTGAGCAGCGCACCGGGGAGGGGGCGTTGTCGTGTCAAAGTGACGTGTGTTTGCTCGATGTAGAGCAACAGACCGACTCTACTTGCAGGATTGTTCACTTGCATCTCGAACAACACCTGTGTCAACCTAACCTAGAACTGGCTGGCTGTGTCTAGTCCGTGCACATCATGTTTGGGCCTTTGACGTGTGTGTTTTTATGGAAGTGATTGTGGGCATGTACTTTGTACGCCATTATGAAAGAGGGGGAGGGGGGGTCGGGCGACGTAAGCTGCACGACCGTCCTCGTCCTGATGTCAATCTATTTTGAAAATTTGACCGTAGCGTGGGAGGCGGTGAATCGCAGTACAGAGCCCGTTCGTACTTTCAGAAAAGTAATATGGTGTATGATGTGTTTCCAGGCGTCATTTTGGTTTAGAAGTGGCGTTTTGACCCATTGACACTTTTTTTAAAACACCGCACCCGTTGGCCCAAACATAAGCAGGGAGTTTGTCAGACATTGCGCTTTCTCTCTAGCGCGTGTTTTTTCAAAATTTATTTAGCGCTATTACGCACTATCGTTCTCAATACGTTATTTGTGCCGAAATAAGTCGCCGGCTCAACGAATTTCGAATTGCCTTTTCGCTAAAGTCATATCTTACTCCCCGGCACCGACATGTGACGAAAACGTCAATGTTTTTTTCTACGTCTTCGGTAGTGACTACGAAATGCAGAAGCTCGACCTGTGGCACCATTGTATGAAGCAACGAATTTTTCTCTTCTTTTGGATGAAGGAAAACTCGCTGTTTTTACCCTTCCCCTTCTTTTCATTCTTCGTGAGGAGCAGAACAATTACCTCCCTTCCCTCCTCCCCTCCCTGTGCCGCCCGCCCGCCCCCGCCCCCGTTCCCGAGCGCCCCCCGCGTTGTCGCGGCTTAAGAGCGCGCTGATCACTGACATTAGAAAAAGGCGAAGCGCGTTCACTTTGAGGGAAGCTCACCGACAAGCACTCCGCTCCGCGACGCTTTGATGTTCTGAATCGCGTCCATATCGTCTTTCTCCGTCCCCGTCTTTTCCCTTCGTGCACCCTCTGCGAAGTCTCGGTGACGGTTTTCTACTGTTTCTCATTTACCATATCAATTTTTCCATTCGCGGTATTTATTATTGTATACTTTCTTTTGTGAGCGGCTTGTAAAACCGTGGCGCTGTTCTGTTTTGCTGAACTTTCTTCAATCGGGCAAATTGGATATCAATTGAAAAATAAAGCCACAATTTTCTTGTGCCCTGTCCGTGACAATAAGTAAATTTCCGCCGACTGTCGGTGGTTTGAAAAATCCTGCAAACATGAAATCCCACAACATTTTCGCTCCGTTCAATGACAGTGTGGCTGGAGCGCGGCGGGGCCAGTGCGCGGCAGTGCGCAGTGCGGCCTCCCGAGCGCCTCAAACCGTTTTGTTCGCTCTAGCAGTCGCGGTCCGATTCGGTTTGGGTCCGGTCTGAAGGCTCGAGGCACGGGAGGCACGAGGCCCGAGGCGCGGGGAGCGGGAGGAAGTAGGGAGGACCGCACTCCGCGATCAGAACGCGATCCGCGAACGGCAGTGAGGAGCGGAATGCGCTGCTTGCTTGTTGGCCTGGGTCAATTGCACCCTCCCCCCTCCCTCCCCCTTTACCTCCCATGGGGCCGGCCACGGCGGCACCGGCGGCGCCTACACCGACACCCACCGGAAGTAGCGGCAGTGTATACACTTCCCAAAGGGAAAAAGAATAGTGAGGGAGACAACGGCTCAACGGCAGAGCGGGAAAAAAGATTTTGCCCGGGGGTCCCAGTCAGCCAGTCATTCCTTGGGCTCGTGCCTACGCGGTAGTAGGGCCCACCTGCCAATACCGCGAACCCACAAAGTGGTTCTTATATGTGTCAAGCCGACGATTACTGCTGCAAGGCACGACTCAGCGACGAGTACGAGCGCACGACCTGCTGAGCGTTCACGAGAGGTTTGACGGCTTCATCTGGGAAACAAGAGGGAAGCATGCGAGGGTGCGGCCGGCGCGGGGAGCTGCCGTTCTTGCATTTAGGTCTCTGTACCGCGCGAGCCTCCGGCGCCACGTGTGTTGTGGACCAGCGAGGACCAGCGCAGCGGTATGTTCGTCATTTGCGGGGGAATCTTTTGCACCAGTAACGAAACATATCTCTTATTGCGCCAGGTGTTTTGCACCCCGATTAAAATAATCAGAGCAGGAACTGCACCTGTCCCCCTGCCGCACCTGACCGGGGACTTGAGCTCGCTTGGCACCCACAGCCACCATGAGCCAGCAGCGGCGGCGGGCGGGCGGGCGGGCGAGCCCTGCCCTGCCGCTGCAGGAGCGACCACGCGGGTCCCCCCGGGTCCCCGCCACCCGCCGGTCCCCGCGGGTTTCACTCCATGACGCAGCGCGGCCCGGCCGGCCGATTAGTGTATGTCAAACACTTTCACTGCTGGAGTGGGTGCAACGAGGAAGGGCCCCCGCGCCCAGGCCTTCCAGGCCGGCGGCCGGCTGTTTACACTAGAGTGGTCCGCGAGGCGGCGAGGCTCTACGGCGTCAACATCCACCACCACCACCAACCACCACCAACCAGGACCACCACCAACCACGACCACCACCAACCACCTCGACCAACCCCCACCAGGAAACCCCCACCTGGAAACCACCACCTGGAAACCCCCACCTAGAAGCCACCACCAAGAAGCCACCACCAAGAAGCCACCATGCCAAGAAGCCACCACCAAAAGCCACCACCAAGAAACCATATCCAGCATCACCATTAAGAAAACGCCACAACCACCGGCAAAACTCTTGCGGACATCGAATCATATTCATTACAAACTAACCTGGGAGCTGAGCTAGCTCATTGATTGATGGACACTGCGTTCCCCTCGCAGCTCGACTCCTCCTCACTTTACGCTCATCCCGTTGAGGTCAGTCACTTTGCGTGCCGCTTAGCCAGGTCGGTGGCGGGTGCACGCAGCTCAACTGCTCGACGAGGCTGGCTCAGGCAAACGCATCCGCCTATCTCTCTTTCTCGCGTTCTTTCGCAAAACTTTTTGCCGCCTCGGACTGGACTGGACTGCCCGACCAAGACCAGCCGAACGCACCTTAGCAACCAGGGACCACTTTATCGTAAAGAAGATCACGGCGCTGCAAGTTGCTGCTGCACGACCCTGCCACGACCAAGGAACCGTTCTGATCGGGAAGATCAAAGAATTATATTTTTTATAACCCTCTGCACTACCTCTTCTTCACGGCTTCCCTCCCTAATTCTCGGAGCTGGCCGACGAAAATGACGCAATTTACTGTGCGATAACTACTATCGCGACTCTGGATAGCCTGATTTTGTGGGCGGGAACAGCGAGCAGCATCGGTACCTTAGCTTGAAAAAAAAAGTCGACCACGCGGATACTGCTAAACAATTGCTTATTCAAGTGGCATCGCGATTTTTGTTAACACAATGCGTCAAACTACGTTTCATATGAAGAGGAAGATAATTCTATCCGAATAAAACAACAAGAGAAAAAAAAACAGTCAAAAACCGTAGAGGGCACATGAATAGAATATCGCACAGCCGCGTGGAAACTACTATTGCATCTCAAGTCCCCTCTCTCCTCTCTCTCCCTTTCGCTCTCCTCTGTAATACCTGTAACCCCACCGGCCGGCAGGCTGAACCTGAACACAAACAAGATTCGGTGTGATCGAACTCCCCCGGCCGGCCGCGCTCGCCTCGCCTCGGCTCAACCTGCGCCGCCCAGCTTTCTATTGCGACGAGGACCCACAGCAGGGACCCACGCGAGTCGCGTCCGCGAGCACATCTCTTTCTTTGTCAGTGTGTGGGAGAAAGAGGAAGGGAGAGAGAGGGAGAGGGAGAG